ATACGTACTACACGCAAGCTTATGCAACAAAGATACTTCTGGCCGTCTATGAATACCGACATTGGCGAGTGGGCAAAGACATGCATTGAGTGTCAACAATCCAAAGTACATCGACATACGCACAGTGACGTCACATCATTCCCACCTAGCGAGCGCTTTGAACACATACACATTGATATCGTTGGACCTCTGCCTACATCCTCGAGCGGACATCGATACCTACTCACTATGATCGACCGCTGCACCCGCTGGGCTGAAGCCGTTCCCCTGCGAGAGATATCAGCCGAAGTCGTCGCAAGAAAGCTGTACGAAGCATGGATAACGCGTTTTGGTTGTCCTATCAAAATTACAACCGATCAAGGACGACAGTTTGAGAGCAGCTTATTTAAAAATCTCGCTCAGCTACTGGGAGTGGAACGAACTCGTACTACTGCCTACCACCCGCAGAGTAATGGGATCGTAGAACGCTGGCATCGTACATTAAAAGCCGCGCTCATGACTCGACTAGCCGACAACAACAAATGGTTGATCGAGTTACCTACCGTGCTACTAGGACTACGAGCCGCCACGCGCACTGACACTAACACTAGCGCCGCACAACTTACCTACGGACAAGCAATACGATTGCCAGGCGATTTTATATCGCCGTCGCCTACCAACACGAAAATGGACAACGACTACGTAGCCGACTTGCATCGTGTTATTACAAGCTTAACGCCCGCTTATCAGTCGCACACTAACAGACTGAGCATCTTCGTGCATAAAGACCTGCAAACATGCAGCCACGTATTCGTACGTGACGACGCAGTTCGCAAACCACTGCAACGTCCATACAAAGGCCCGTACCTAGTTACCTACAGAAACGACAAGTACTTTACAATAGAAACACCTAGAGGTACCACCAACGTGTCAATCGAGCGTCTAAAGCCGGCCTACGTCATTAACAATGATAACTCAGAACACTGTGCAACTCCACCAGCGACTACCCAGGATCAACCTAGTCAACCTCCGTCGAGCGACAGCGATGTACGAAGAACGCGAACAGGCAGATTAATCAAGACCCCAGTACGCTTCGCTCGGGGGGGAGTACTGTAGCCGCACCTCACGACTACATACCTACCAATACCATACTCAAAACTATGTACCAATTTACCTTATATATTTACCTTACCGATACCATCGAATACCTTACCATACCTCAAAACCAGTTACCATATACCTTCCACACACCAACGTTTTTAGACTTTCCGTTATCAACAGAAACATGATAACAATTGTCTTGAAAAAGACAGTTTAAAACGTTTTTGACTGTGTTAACATGAAACGATAAATATTGTCTTGAAAAAGACAGTAAACGTTTTAGACTCTGCCAGAAACAATTATTTCGGCCCGGCGTAATACGCCGTGCCGAGCGTAGTCGCTTCGAAAGAAGCGGTTTGTTATTAGCAAGCATCGCTAGCGGAGCCGGAGGCGGAGCACCTGCACCCGCCGCGTCTTCAATGTTCACACAATCTGCACTCGACGACGGCGCGCGGCGAAATGTCGCGCTCTCGGCGCGCGACCCTTTTATATGCAAACGAGAGATCGCGCCGGCGCGGCGCCGCGACCAAAGCGGCGGCCCACGCCCCGCGCGGCCCGCGCTCGCCGGCGCGTCGCCATTGGTCAACACATACCTAACGGCGCGCGATATGGTTTTGATGTACATTTGTAAATATAGATATAAGTAGCAACAATTAGCGAAATAAAGCATTCCGAAACACGCATCTCAACGAGTATCATTTACAAGAAGAACCTTCTCGTAGGACAACTAGGCTCTCCTACCTAGTTCCTACACTATTATAAATAATTTAGGAGTTTATAACGATAGGATGGTATTATTTTTTGTTTTTAAGTACAGTGGTATTACAAAACATGGTCGCTTGCTCGCATGGTGGTACGCTAGCTTTTTTTCCACACTTATATGAGCCAACTGAGGGACTGTCTATTTTTTTTTTTTTTTAATCAATAGTTTTAGGGGCTTTTTGTTCTAACACATGTCAACCCCGTTAGGACATTTTAACTTACATCTATCATATTAAAGACTCAAAGTCTCACTGATGCGTGAATATCCTAAACAAGGCAATAGCTGCAGAAGAAGTTGGGTTTGAGAGAACAGTTGTAAAACTACCCACATCTAACATATTTAACTTAAATTCACGCACCAGTGATTCCCTGTCTCTCGCATATTTTATACAATCAACTAACAAATGTTGAACATCATCAAGGACACCACATACTTCACAAGACTGTCTATTAAATTGATTAAAGAGATACCGGGCAGCATGGGTTAGCAGAGCAGGAGAAGGAACAGGGGGTTTTTAGTCAGTAAGAGTCTGACACTCCCTCCCGCCCGACCGGGGGCGGGAGAAGTCATTTGATGATTATCCCCTCACAAAAAAAGGCAAGAAGGGTGCAGACTATGGCAAAGCTTTTGTCAAGTTCGGATGAGATAAGCGTGTACACAATTTGTCTGAAATAGAAGCACGGCCTCGCAGAAAATTGGCATGAAACAGGCATGCATCGTGGTTCGCTATCGCTATATGACTGAGATTGTCTGAGACCCCAATTCCATAAACCTCTAACGCGCAAAAGCTTAGTAATACTCTTGCAATTGCTCTGGGCGGCTTGATTGCTTACCATCATGTGACTCATCAGCTTGTTTGCTGTAAAATAAAATTGTTGAGAAGGCTATTACCGAACTGTTCGGAGATGCACGTGCAAGCGAAATGATGTGCAGACGGCACTGCGTGACGTTTAGGTACTCTTCAAAAAGAAAGTGGGCTGATTGTGTGATGCGTAGTAACCAATAGGTAATTAGTGTTAAATTTAATTCCAATTTTACCTCATAAGTACTCATAGTTGTTTGTTAAATAGCACGTCACTAAACGTCACTATTTACCAAATATGGTACTAGTTTGCGGGTTTCGGGTGCAACGTTGCAGACGAAGGAACGGGTGGGTTTTTAGACAGAGATAGTCTGGCTGACACTCCCTCTCACTCCACCCAGGCTCGGGCGTCCTAAGCTGCGCCTGGGTAGTTGGGCAGCGAGCAAAGGCAGCAAAACCAAAAGAAACCGAAAGCCTTATCTATAATAGAATTCACAAATTACATCTGCTTATCAAGTTTCATCATCATCTGCATAATTCTTATAGCTTATAAAAAACTTGACTGTGACTTGCGGACAGACAGACAACGAATTCTTAAGCATTTCGGTTTTAGCCATTTGGCTACCTTATAAAAAAAATCGTGCGTAGGTATTACTTACCTAGGTACTGATTGGTAGAAAAACGGAAATATTTATGTATTAAAATATTTACTACCACTCAGTATTTAATGCATTAAACTGCGTCCTTTTCACTGTAATTTTACCACCAGACAATCGGAAAACATCACTGCTTCATGGGGGATATCGCACCCACACGCAAGAAGGGTCGCCTCCAGTTTTCATACCAGAACCGCTAAGGAGTGGAATTCTTTATCGGAGTCTGTGTTCCCGGAAGGGTATCGCCAGTGTGACTTTATGGACCAAGTGAATATCCGTAGCGGATATTCACTTGGTCCAAGCGTGAAAAATAATCGTAATTATCATATACTTTTCTTCATAACAAATATTGTTCGGAAAAGCACATAAAATCGATTTGGTCAATGGCAACATTGGTAAGTAAGTCGGTTAAAAAGAAACAAATAATATGTATAAACATTACTTTTAATAAGCTTTTAAATGTTGTATATTATCCTTAACAGTTTATCAGTGGTGTCTAAATAAACTTAGAAAGTTCATATAAAACGGAAATAGATTCACTTATCTAAACTCGCACGAAAAGCTTATTTGCAGACGACATTTTACATTTACATTAAGTAAATCAAATCCCTTAATCTCCAAATCCCAAATCCCCAAAAGAGCAGAAACACTATCGTAAATCCTCTGTTGTTGCTTATTATCAGGTAATCCATTTGCTGGTTTAAAAAGAAATTTTGGCGGCTAGATTGCACATGCCGAAAATTGGTTTGAACGATATCTTATTAGATCTCGTGGTAGTGAGAAGTATTTTTAATACGCCATAAATCTATAGGTACTAATATTATAAAGAGGTAAAATTTGTAAGTTTGTATATTTGTAAGTTTGTAGGTATGTAGGGGGTAATCTTTGGAACCGCTGGTCGGATTGCCAAAATTCTTTCACTGATACATAGCTATAATGATGAAAAAAACATCAAGCTAAGATCAAATGGAGCTGAGCAGCGGGTGAAAACGCGCGTGAGTAGCTAGTGATTTATAATAGCCATAGAATTGTGTTACCTACTTGCTTTAATGGGAACTTGTCATCGGCGATTCCGACTCGCACTTGCCCACTTTTTTGTACTTTTTGGTGTTGAAGTCGATTTTTTAAATGCAATTAATTTTTTAAAGCTTTTATTTTACAACTTCATCACTTGTAGTAGAAAAATGAATGAAAGCGTGTAAAGATATTCCCTCGAAATGTAATACATATTTTCAAGTAGGTCCTATAAGTACTAGGTTGTTTTAAAAGATACTTATTAGGTATAAGTATCTTTTTTATTATCTATTTGTTATTTTTACGTTTTAAATAACATTTAGTTTTTCTAAGTCTATGTCTCTAAATTAGATACCTAATGAGTTTCTGTGACTATATCCCCATCATCAAACCCTAGTTAGTGGTTATCATATACATAGGTAAATGCACTTGACATGCCCATATATGTAAAGCCGACAATTTTTAGTATGACGTACCACAGCACGGCCAGTACAGTACGTCACGCCAAAACTTTTAACGTACCTCTGGGTTTTTCAATGAAACTTTCCGAGTAACTGAAATTGGCATCACAGTTAGCGGCAACTCATAGATATTGACAGGCAATTAAACTTGGTCGCGTAGTATTTGTTATTTATAGAGATCAAGTCATTAACTCGAACGCGACGTAAACTTCGCTAGTCGGTGACTTGAACCAGTGTGAAACGGAACGCTGCGCAGAACAAACGTGCGCGCGCGCTTGCAAATCAGTAATTAAATTGATCGATTTAATTGAAAAAAAAAACACAAAAATTCTTTGTAACTGAACTTCTCAAATATTGTGAACAATGGCTAATGATCTTGTGAAATTGAAAATTGTGAATGAGAATGCGAAAAGTGTGGATCAAAGTTTGAACGACGAGGTCGAGATGATTTTCGGCAGAGGACCGGCGCGGGCACCGGCGCTTAATGACAAAACTCCTGTCCTTACCAATGGCCACCTGATCGACAAAGAACGAGAACACACAGAATTTGTAAGTTAATAATAACTTATTTTATCTACCTATGTATGTACCTATATACATATTATTCGACAATAATACGGAAGTACTAAGTAATTGCGACTGCCATAACAAACGAACTAACTCCATTCATTTACAAGCATTCGTCACACAAAAAGAATCATGCTTTGTCATTTAGAATGATTCTGCAATTGATATTCTTTCAAAATATCTATGTATAGTGATATGATTTCGGCTAAGCAGGTAAATCACAGCCGTTCTGTCAACAAACTAACGCTAAAACATCTTAATGATGTCTGGTAGGGGTCATTGACCATTAGACAATATAGATAAAATAATAATATACATAACGTTGGTCCAGCACTGAACCACGCTTATTACCGGCAAAAAAGGTTTTAAGATTCTATAGACTTGACGCAACTCTGTTATTAACAAGCACGAAGCCCATATAGCTCAATGTTGTGATAAATAGTGTTTATTTAATCGCTTTTACTTAGTTTTAACAAGTCATATTGTATCTTATTTATAAGTACCTAAGGAAATAGTTGAAATAGGTCCTCTTGTTGGTATACTTACATAATTATGTCACATTTACTTTTGAAACCCAACATAAAAGTTCATTGATAAATTAAATCTTAAGTTTATCTCTTAGTGCACAATGAACGTATGATTGTCATTAATTGTAATTATTCTTTTACCTGTTATGTCCGCGGTGATCAGCCACTATACTTCCGAATTCCTTAACGATGACTTTTGTCTGCGAACATATTTCCATTTATAGTATGTTAAGTAATGCAACGACTGTATAACTAATATGCTAAGCATAGTCAACATATCTTTGTGTTTTGTTGTAGACATACTCGTATACACTCTTTTAAGTGATGAAGATTGACCAAAAATGTTTGGTTGATTGATGAAGTTTCCAGATCCACATACAGTTTTATTGTTATAATCCAATATGTATATGTTCATTCATAATATACATATAATAACGTGGGCTGAGCCTCTAAACAAACATACATGCACTTGATTTCAAAATAACGGTAGATATGAATACTCCAATTTACCGAAGGTATGCCCATAAGATAGGAGAATTAGTTCTGAAGTCCCTTTTATTTAGGGGGTAACTTATCCAATGTCTTATCTCGCCTTAGGTTAGGTTAGAGGAAAATCGTTGTTTCCCTGCTGGATTACAAATCCCGAACAACAACAAAAGCTAAGACCTTTCACGCACTTAGTCTTATAACTCCTTTGGTATTGTGGTTGACCATGAGCCGTGCCAATCGTTTGCCATCAGGTGATTGATTTTTATTAGAAAACCTAAATCAACACAATAATTTAAAGTTTTAAATCGCCAATCGGCCATGAGCATGGGCAGTGTAACGCTCATACCTTCCCATTGTGAGAACAATACTTGTAGATCAGGCATGTTGTAAAAACCTAAGTTGATGATCCAAAAAAATTTTGATTATTATATTCATTTTTTTTAAAACGTTGCCCCTATCTTGGATTCTTTCATGTGTTGTGGGTGCGGTTACAAACATATAATTTCACATACACATGACACTCAGACCTGGAACAACAATTTGTAGATCACACAAAGAGTTGTACCGTACGGGAATCGAACCTGCGGCACGACACGGTAGCCGGTTACCCAGCCACCGCACCAACCGTGCAGTCAATTAGCACATGATTTTTATTCAATGAGCTTAACGAAGTTCGTGTTTGTGGAATACATTCGAAATCTATAGAATAGCACTACCTAAGTAACTACGTACCCCTAACTATACTTAATTCCCGAGGGTAAAAACAATGTGATACTGTTTTATTTATATCCTGACCTCCATATTCCAGTTTCCTCTCACTCCATTACATGAAAACTTGGCTATCAGTATCTTTGGCAGCTCATTCACAAAGGATATACATAAAGGGATTCTGATATGGTTGTCTCGTTCTAATTAAAAGAAAATGACAGTGATGATGACAATAGAATTGTATGCAAAGCTACATTCTACTTATTGGTTTAGTTAACAAAGACTGTTAACTATTTCTTTGTAATTACTTATGACTGTTCGTGGTTAGCGGTTGCCAGGGATTAAATATCGAAAGTCGACCGCAGACATGGTTATTGGTATTAACAAACAAAAAAACATGTGGTTTAAGTATACAGGGATATTGTAGGGTCCAATGGCGCCCCAATCCCCAACACATTAACAAAATGGCGGCAATTCATTCGTAACTCGTCTGGTGTTGCGGGTGTCCATATCCGTCTCATCTTGAATGAGAAGCGGCCACCACGATAGCAAAAAAAAAAACAAAAATATTTTCTAAAATATGAACTACCTTTTATGTTTTTATAATAACTATAATGAGACATACGCGACATCGCCGCGTCTGCGCGCGCTGCTCATAATGAAGAACCCCTCTGTGGTTCGAAACTAGTAGAGCTTTTCTCAATTACACACGTGAGTAACCCGAGACTTTTAGTTAACTACCTTTTATTCTGATTCCAAGCACGACGCGCGATGATAGCAATAATGTAACTTAAGTATTGTTTAAGCTTCACGCCAGATAACAAACTTGATATACAACATATATGTAGATACAACTAATTGTAATATAGGATATAGGATTTCACATTACACAGTTATACTGAATTTTTCTTCAACACATGTTACAAAGAATAACATCATCATATTTCATCTCATATTTTCATCATTAACTAACAGATAAAATTGTAAAATTGTGTAATATTTCGATAAATTGTCACTAAGTTACTAAGTTACTGAACAATATACAATGGTACGTCAGCAAATGGACGCAACAACAGTTGTCTCCCCAATGTGATATAATTATGATTCCAAAAATAACATTCTATTTGAGTCAAGTAATCATTCAAATCAACTACACAATACAAGTCAAGTGTGAGAGAGCCATGCTTCGGCACAAATGTCTCGGGTCTTAGGCCTCACAGAAAACCGGCGGCGTGAAACAATCACAGCGTTGTGTTTCGCCGTTGAAAGTAAGGCTACCGGAAGCCAGATCCTTTTCCCCCTCACCCAATCCCTAAATCTCCGTAACCCTAATCCCCAAAAGGCCGGCAACGCACTCGTAACTCCTCTGGTGGTGCCATGGCGCGCGATTGTTTACCATCAGTTAAACTGTGAACTTGATTGCCATCCTATCACGTAAAAAACGTATTATAAATCCTTCTTATTCATAGTCCTCAACGTAAAATATGTTGTGTTCGCAAAAACTTTATTCTATTCCGAACTGATTAAATCGAACTTTTAAAAACCAAACCAAAATAACATGATTTTCTGAAAATATTTTGTTTTTTTTTAAAAACCCTACTTAAGTAGGTCACGTGTCCACTAGGTATCTACATAGAGGATCAAGCCATAAGTAATGTAATATTCCTGCGAAGGTAATTAAAAACTTCATTACACGGTAATCAAGTAAACGTTAATCGAATACATTCCTACAGATACAATGAAGTAGAGGCACTGGCAGCGGTACCCATTTTTTACAGTATCGTCCAATATATGGTTAAGCTGGATGACCCGCACCTGATCCGATAGTCGTTATTTTCATTATAATTATTAAGCACTGATTAAAAAAAGATTCAGATCATGATCTGAAGCTGTAATACTTGAGTTGACTTGAAACGAAACTAAAATTCTGTCGATGAACAAAGACCTCCGTCTTAATTGGAGACTTGTCATATTTCACGTGGTCATCTATACTAATATTATAAAGAGATAAAATTTGTAAGTTTGTATGTAGGATGTAATCTTTGGAACCGCTGGTCGGATTTCCAAAATTCTTTCACTGATAAGTAGCTACAACGTTCCTGGGTGCTACAGTACGTCACGCCACGATCAAATGGGGCCGAGCAGCTGGTGAAACCGCGCGAAAGTAGGTAGTATTTCATATTTTACGTGGACTGTAGTAAGTTACTGTAAGAATTTTAAAGAACTTCTCTACACGTCCCAGTCTTAGCGTACATGGCTCATCAGATCATGCTCGTGATTTTAGAACTTATGACTCAGACCTTAAGAAAGTGGTGCTAAGTAATTACTGGTTTTGTCAATGGACGGGTTTTCCTGCGTAGAAAAGAGTTCACATGCGATATTATGGATACCTACTGCGTCACAGCGAATTGTTTTTTTAACCGTAGTCCTATACAGTACTTTGTCCTGTGTCACGGGTGCATCGCGTAGAGGCGAGTCGCTTATTGATTATCGGGCGTTCTGTATCACTATCGGGATATCGGGAGCAAGGTGCGATGGAGAGCATATTTTGCTGAACGTAAAATCGAATTGATCACTAAACACTAATAAGTGTGGGAGAGCCTTCGGCACGAAAAGGCTGCCCATGGACACACGCAACAGAGGAGTTTCGAGTACGATACCTTTTGGGGATTAGGGATCGGGGGAGGGGAAGGATTGGGCCTCCGGGGACCTCACTCACACGGCGAAACACAAAGCTGTGGCTGTTTCACGCCGGTTTTCTGTGAGGCCGTGGTATCACTCCGGTTAACCCGACCCATTCGTGCCGAAGCATGACTCTCCCACACTTAAAGCCTAGAATTCCAAAGACGTATATGCGTAAGTATCTCCTAGAGAAGCACTAGATCTTAGTAATTTACCTAAGTAAGTTTCGCTGTAAGCTTAGGTATATAATTACATGCAGAATAATTATCCTGTTACTGTGAGCAGATATGTTAGCAAAACAAAGTATTAGATACGTTTAGTTTCCTTATTTTTGTTTTTTAATGCACTTTGTTTATTATTATTCTATTAGTGTTCATTTTGTTACATAATTAGATGGTTCATTAGTCAATTATTTCATACCTAATAGACTATTATGACGCTCTATAGCTTACTGAATTATTTGCTTTCCTGTGGAAGTACAGACCAGAATGCAAATGTACTAATTAGTTTAAATTATTGATAAAGTTTATAAGTTAATTGATAAAATTTCGTTCATTATGCCTTTTATTATTATTT